GTATAACTGTAAATCATTCAAAAGTGCAATTGATTCAGTTAATCAGACACACGATGGTGTTGCCTTCATTTACAGTAACCTGGATGTGAGGCTTCACAGAATTTATTCAAGGTTTGTATTAGTTTAGAAGTTCTCTCTACGTGTTCAATGTACTGTACTTGACAAACATAAAACAGTCATAGTGCAACAGGTACTACAAATTTGGTTTGCTACTTTTATTTCATGTACTATTTAAAATAGCTTTTTAGTATCTTAGTGTTATTTGCTTTTTCTCAAAGTGCAGTACAAGTTTTATTTTATTCACACTGACCAACTGTAAGTAGTTTTAAATAATACTGTACAGCTAAAGTACAACGGAAGTTCTGTAAATTTGAAAAAAGACTTTAATCCTACAAATGTGTTCTTCTCCAAATGAAACTTTATAAACTTACAGTAGTTAAATGCTTTTTAATTGCTGAATTACCAGGATTATCTATGGCCTCACATCGTTAATACAGAAATAAAAAATGGTTTAAAACTCAAAAGCTGGAACAGAGTTTTTACTTAACCATCACAGACACAACAGTCCGGATCACTGTCACTTGTTACAAATATTTTTTTTTCCTCTATATCCTTGTCCTTCAGTCTCTCTCCTTCATGTGTATAATCCTAAATCTCTTCTCTTACCAAGCGTGTTACTTTAAAAGGTGATCACTGTCGCCCTGAACAAAAAACAACAAGCTACTGTCAGATCAGCAGGTTATAGAAGCACAAATGGAAGACACAGAGTATTCGTTCCTGGTTCAAACAAAAACTCTTCAATCAAAAATGTCTTTTAATACACAGCAGGTCTATGCAGTTTACCCAGCCTTAACCTCACAGAACAAATCAGAATCTTGAATCTTGGATAAAGTTTCACTGAAAAAGCCCTGATGTACAGCATTATAGGAGGTTGTGGTTTCAACACTGTGATTTACCATAGTCAGACTGTAACAGTAATGTAACACAACCTCTGCTATAATTTTTTTAGAAGTTATTTGAGTCTTTCTGGTATGGAAGGCAATATAATTTTATATATTTACAACATAGCTTTTTATGTCTAAATAACATCGTTGATTAAAGCTTTCAAGTTTTTGTGTTTGCTTCAAAGGAGTCATAATTTAAGGTGCAAATTTTAAGTTCTAAATAAAGACTTCAGTGCACCAGGTTCAAATCAAAATGGTGTTCAACACTCAGCATTAAACCTCATTACCGTAACATTAAAAACTTACTTTACAGCATAATAAATGTTTGTATAGATACTGCTCTGAAGGCCAGTACATAACAACCGTTGAAATGAGAATGATCAGCAGTAGTTTACATATCTGAGTAGGAAAATATATTTTAAAAAATAGAAGTAAGCATTTCTACTATTGTGTGTTATCATGAAAAAAATGCATAACAGTAGTACTCTGCCACCAAGCAAAAAATCTTACATATGTGTTATTTCACAATTTTTAAACTGCTTTTGAGTATTTTCTCTTTTTATACAGGAAAAATTCCAGTTCTTTCACTCTAATGCTGAAAAAAGCAACTGTAAAAACATCAGATGCTGAAAACCATACAACAAAGAATTTTGGTTTAGATATATACAAACTACAGTTTTACTACTTTTGTAGAAACAATGCAAGTTAACTTGCCTATATCTAAACTAGGTGAAATCCAAATGTGAAGGCACCTTTGTTTCAGATTGGTTTTGTGGAAAAAATGGTTAGTATTCAAGTTTATATTTTTGATATTTTTCAATAATATCTTAAGGATGCTTTTTAATTAAGCACCTTTTAGCCTAAGCACATTCTCAGAAGAGCACTGCTTGATCAGCTGTAAAAAGTGCCTTATGTAAACCTGCATGGTTAAAAAATCAATTACCAAAAATAAACACATCAGCAGCAGCTGTCAAAACCCATAATTCCCCAAACGCTAAATGTTTAAAGCAGGCAATCCTGTCTCACAGCTAATAAATTAGTTAATACAAGGACAAGTCGCTCTTTCAGACCACATAGGCCTTTCCCTTTTGGAAAAACAATATTAAAGTCCATTTCTATCGCTATCTAAAAATCAGTGTGTTAGGTGATGCCTTTTTGAATATTTTTTCCCCAAAGTGCAAAGCTCTTCGTCCCTGTGAAAGAGTCACTGCTGTGAGCACCGATTTGGTTTCTCTGTTTGCAGGCTGTTCAGATCCTCCGCCAAATCTGTTTTCTGCTCCATTTCCACCTGTAAAAAAAACACGGAAAGTGGGACTGGGCACCACAAAACTGAGGCAGCCAGAGGTCAACACTAAAGTGAATGGCGATTCTTCACTGGGCCACTAGATGGGACCAAAGAGCCATGAGGTGAGAAGATGGGATTACCGATTTAGCTTGCAATTTAACATGGCAATTAAAACATGACACACCGAGTCTTGTCGCATAAACCTTCCTTTTTCGATTAAAGTGGCTTCAACGAGATTCTGCATCTCGACTCAGAGATGAAGATGGCTCAGACTTAGATTGAATAGCTGCAAATCTAGTCCCCCCCAGTACTGAATGTTCGATCCGTTTATTTACGTCTTACGTACTGGTGCTGTGATTTCATGGACTTCATGCGATTTTATGCGCGTTTTATGTTTTGCTTGTGCTTTTTTTGTACCTTTAAGGGAGAAGCCAAAGATGATTTCCCACACTAGTGGACAACAAAGTGTCTGTTTTTTGTTTTTAATCCTTTATCAACCGAGAGCCAGGCTTCGGGTCAAGCAGCCACCTGCGAAAGTTTGCCGACAGCACTGTTTTGGGCTCAAGAGCAGCAGGTGTGAAGGAGTGAAAGCAAGAAGCCATTCATGTATTCACGCCCTCGAGGCACGAGTCTGCCTGTGAATTGTGGCGCGGAGGGACACGGGGGCAGTGGTGCGCAACGCGCGGGCGGTACCTGGTAGCTGTAGTGCGCCTTGTAGCCGACCCACTTCCTGACGTCCGTCCGGTCCCCCGCGGCCAGGCAGCGCACCGTGGCCCTGGAGGCGGAGGCGGCGGGCATGTCGAACTCCACCTCCAGCTGGGCCGGGAACCCGCGCGGCACCTCCCAGTCGGACCCCAGCTCCAGGCGGCAGAAGAAGGTGTGGGGGTGTCCCGAAGCTTTGGAAGAAACAAGCAGCCTTCGGTCAGGAACTGAAACCGCTGGCGCGCCCCTGCGGCTCAGCAGCTGTGGGGCCTGTGAGCGCCGCGGCGCGGCCGACCACCCTGAGCTGCCTTCACAGGAAGCTTCACCAGGGAATAAGGGAGGAGTACAGCCAGGCAAATGGTATTACAACCCGGCCAGGGCGCCGTGTACTGACAGGGAAACGGGCATCTCCATTTTATTTGCCTTGGCTGAACTGTGCTACCCTGCGCTTCAGAGTGCAGCACTTCCCATGACTCAGAGTATCCAGTGCAGAGCCCCTCTGAGCAGGAAAGGTGAAAAAGCCCAGCTCTTCCTTAGAGCACGGGGAAACAGTAGATCACGGTCCTGTTCTTCTGAAGAATAAAAATGGTACTTTTTATCTCTGAGTGATAAAGGAGAAAACGTTTGTTGGGGGTTCCTAAAAGGTTTGGTGAAATGAAATGTCTCTTTAGTTTCTCCCACTTTGTCCTGACATGCTTAGAAAAAGGCCTTTTATTTTGCTTCATGGGTTTGAAAAAAAAAGTCCCCCCTTGTTAAGCGAGGGGGAAATGATCAGGTCACAAAGGACTTGCAAGCCTGCGATTCTGTGAGCTAATGGACATTGACAGCCGAGCTTTGTATGATGAATTAATACGGGGGTGGAGGAAGCCTGCTGATGTATGATTTAAACCCCTGAAGGGACAGCCACTGAGGAATACCACCACAGAGGCCATTAATACAAGCTCTGCTTCCAACACGTGCTGCTCCAGTACACGTGTTTGCATTCTGCATCACTGCTGTTGCCACCGACTTTGCACATGCTACAGGTATGTGCATGAAAGAATAACAGAAAAGACAGTTAAATGTATCCATCCTTCATGAATAGGAAGTGTTCGTACATTTTTTTAATATTTTTTTTACAAAGCATAGTATCTAAATCACTTATTGTACTGGTTCTGCAAATGAAACAGGCACAGCTTGATTTCAAACAGTCATCATATTTGGATAAGAAAGCTGCATGAATCAGATATTCCTTTTGACAAACAGGAGCAAACTGCAGCCACCTCCCTTGTGTCCTGCCAGGCCGAAACTTCGGACAAATAGAGCCTGTTTCTCTACTGAGGGTTACTGGCGCCTGCTGTCCAGAAGGAAATGGTGCATCGTGCAGCTATCCCTTCGATTCAGTTCTGACAAGAAACTGGCAAGCTGCTAAAAAAACTCAAAATAAAAGCCCTTCTGCTATCTTTTAGTTTTTTAAATAATGGCTTTTGCTGAACTTTTTGTTTTAATCGGTAGCTTGATGTCCCGTAGCAAAGATCAATTTGGTTAGTACACAACATAATGTGTAACATCTCAGAACGCTGAATGGCAAGTCTGAAAGCAGTTCAAATCACAACTGAATCAGAATCAAAGCACATTTAAATGAAATTGTGTGTGTAAAGTGAGATCTCGCGTGTTGGACTGTGACATGCTGTCCTGCTGTCTAAGTGACCTGGCGTCTCTGACTTTCCCCCGGTTGTGTGCGAGTGAGCGTGGAAGCGTGTCGGTGGGTGCGTGTGCGAGAGGGTGTGGAAGCGTGTGCGTGTGCGTGTGGAAGCGTGTGCGTGCGTGAGCGGCGGCACGTCTGTGTCCCGCAGTGGGCAGGCGACGTGTGGATCCTGCTTTGTGCCCACTGTCTTCTTTGGCCTCTGTACTCAGCAGTTACTGAAAATGGATGGATGTTAAAATCGTATTATCTGGCTCATTCATTTTTATTGCATGAGATTTCTTACTTACAGTATGTCTCTTTCTGACCTCATTAACTCATTAACTAAATTTTCTTATTGCTCTGTATAACGTAGTAAGGGTTCATTGTTTTGGATAAATGTTTCAGCAAAATATGGCATATGGTATCACGTTATGGTATAATAATGAGATAATTGCTAAAGTACCATTTAAAATAAAACTAGACACACGGAAGGTATCTCCATGACCCTATCAGCACCTCGTTATTGAAGGAGCAGCTGAGTAATGACCCAGACTGTAGCTCCTCAGGACAGAGTGCCTGTGCGTATTTGCTCTATAAGGATGACGAATAAAGATCCCCAGACGGTTGTAAATGGGAAAACCTAAATTTGTAAGAATTCATGCAAGAAACTAAACATGAAATAAATCACTCATTTATCAAGCAAGGCCTCATAGACACACAGGGCAGAATGTTCAGCTCTTGCCTTCTTCACTTTTAACACACATCTGACCTGGTGGTTATGTACTTAGATCGGGACGATAACTCCATGGTATTGACTCAGGACTGAATCATGCATTACTGGTAGTATGAAAAGCCATAGGCTGAGCTGTGTTTCACCCCACTGACTGAATAACATGGCCAGTGTTTCACTGCAGTGGCAGCAGTGGACAAAATAGGCTAAAACAGTTTGAGTGGGGAGCTGTGTCAGCATGCAAAAGCTGCAAAGGAATGTGTAAAAGTTTATTCCGCGCTGAAAGGAAAAGAAAAGCAATGTTTTGGCTGTGGAGGCTTCTTCAGCTGTGATGGAGGGAGAAAAACTAGCAGATAAATTGGGCAAGGGGCAACAAAAGACAGAGTAGTCATGAAAGGGCAGGGAGCAGGTGAGAGTGTCCAACCTCGGGGAGGACAGGAGGAGAGGCGTGGAGAGCCAGAATCTGCGAATGAATAGAGAGGATTTAGAAGGAGATGAGTCTGTCGCTGAGAGAAGGGTGGAGGAGTTTCAGGATAATTTTGGTTTTGGACAAAATAGGCTGTTGAGTTGAACTGTAGCGACGCGTTTGTCTAATATCCCGTGTAAAGCATGTTATAACCAGAAATCCAGACTTCTTAAAAGAAGTGAGTGAGTTTCAAGTTTAGGTCACTCAGTTGCCTCGATGCGGTCCATGAAAGACTTGGCTACAAATGAGTAAAAAAATATATAAAATCTCCAAGCACAGGGCTTTAAGAACCTGAGCTTGTGCAACCAATATGAAGTTATAGGCGATTCCTACCTGAATTTTTGTCCGGGAGCCTGTTTATTCTCCATACTACAGACTTGAAGGCGTGCTCATATTTGGCGGTCCCCAGAGTGACCCTCATCACGGGCTCTGATCCAGAAGAACTCATGGAACCAAAGCTGGCACTTTTATTAATCCTGGCTTTCAAGGACTTCTCTCCCATCACACTGTCTCTCCGGAAGTTTTTTGCCCAGGTCAAGGGGACGGGATAACGGATCATGACATTTTCACACGGGATCTGTGACAGGGGATCCCGATTGGACGAAAACCCCGATGACATCACTAGCCAGGACTGCACCTCCACCTCGGCCCCCTTGATGGTGGCTACAGTTCTCATGGTGAAGGGCAGCATTTTCTCAGCGAAGGGTGTCCTGAAACGCATCAGCTCAAACCTACAGCCACTCGGGGGAGTAAAGAAAATCATTCTCGAGTTTGTAAATCCCTTCTCGTCTGCCGACTGATGAAACCGACAGTCTCGGAGCTTAATCCACCTGGTTGTGCTGTTCGGAATGATGTCGTGCCTGGACACAATTTCATTTCCTTTCACTTGGATATCGTTGAAGCCTATCTTGCACAACGGTGACCCAGAAATAAAGGCTAAAACGTGAACGTGGGTCACCACCAACTGCTGCAATATTCTGTTGTCCCCTTTGGACACAACTCCATGAAACTCGTCGCTGACGTCCACAAGTATCACCTCCTCAGCATAAGATGTGTTGGAGCAAACCATGTCCATTTCCACTGGCAGTTGCATCAGCCTATCCTGAACCACATACATGAAGCTCAGAAAGTCTTCATAATTTGTTGTTCCAAGCTTGATCAACTGTTCCTTTATAGGTGCATGAACTACAGCCACCTTTGTCTGGATTTTCCGTCTTTCCTTATAAACGACATGGTCGACACTAACGGTATGAACTCTACCATTCTCGTCGTAGTTCTGAAGCTTAGCTGCTGAAAGTTCATGGCTGCTGTCCAGCTGAAGTTCCTTAAAGGGCTTCTCCAGTCCCTTTTCATAGAAGAGCTGTAAGCACCCCGTTTCTGTCACCTTCACGAAAATGGGCCCCCAGTGCCGAGAGGACATGATGTTTTTCTTTTCAGGTATCCTCAACATCATTGGCCAGCCATCCCTGTGCTTCATGTAGGAAGGCAGGAAGGGGAGATCCTCCTCTTCCTCCTCATCTATGGGGTCATCAGGCAAGGTGGGACTGCCCAGCGGGTCTGGGTCTGCCATCCCCAGCTGCGTAAGATCTTCCAGGGCCTCGTTCTGAGGAGCGCTGCCGAACACATCTTCACCGCTGGCATCAAAACCAGGCGTGAAGAGGAAGATGGATTCCTTGCTGGGGCCAGCGCTGTCGGTGAAGAAAGGGGAGCTGAATGAATAAGAGTGAGAGCTCTCCGGACGCGATCCATTACTCTGCTGTGCCTCACTTTTATCAAAATAAGCACTGAAAGGGTTGATGGGAGACGGCTGAACATCGGCCAGATCGTCATCCAGGAACGGGTTTTTCTTTCGGGCCGGAGTGCTGCTACTGAACAGCGGGCTCTCCACACTGAACCCGTAGTTGGTCTTGGCCAGCGACACGTCCAGCAAACCTCCCTTCCCCTCCCTTTCCCCGTGTCGCTCCCCTCGGGCGACGAAGTTGCTGTTGGCGTCCTGCAGCGGAAACTGGTTGAGACTGCTCGCTCCCAGGGACGACGTCCCGGGGCTTCCCAAGTTGCCTTCATCGTCGTCGAAGGTCACCCAGCTGCCGAAGCGAGCGGTTGTTGTTCCCGTTGGGCTGCTCGTTTGTTTGTGGGTGGAGCGCAAGCTGACGGCATCCATGGCTATATATTCATCTTCTTGAAAGACAGAAGAGTCTGAGAAACACAGACAGAGACACAGACCGTCAGAAGGGCTGCCAGTGAGAGGAAGCAGTTCAGTCCCTGGAGCCTGTTTGGTTGCTGGCGGTTAACTGATCACAGGATCTCTAACACAACAGCTGTGTCTTGAAAGATGCCAGGATATCGGACTCAAAAACATGGCTGGGCAAGCTCGTCCCCCCCTCCCACCACATCTCAGTCCTTCTGATCCTAATAAATAAACAGACAGTCATGGGACATTCAACAGGTATTTCTGGTTGATAAAGAAACAAACAGGAAGAATAATCCTGCTGGGTGGGCTGTCTGATATCTCCCTGAAACGCGGATACATCATCTAATGCTGCAGCACCACCTTCAGTTTCAAATTCCTTTGAGTTTTTTCGTTTTGTTGTACAGTATTAACGTACGTCCTCCCGAGGTTCCGCAGAAAGGCAAGAATGCATGGTATTTAATATATTTAAAAATGTGTAGATATATTACTGACAAAAAACAATTCTGTATTATTAATGGCTATTTAACCTTTTCACAAATTAATTTACAGATGATGTACTTCTAAAATTATGTAATTATAAATGATAAAAAATAAACATTCTAATACTGTACATTTGATGTAGAAATTCTATTCCACATCGGGACCAATTAATACAAATACGCAAGAATAATCATTATTGTTTTGCGCAAGATAATACTTTCAACCAATATATTCCAAAGTGCAGACCAGAAAACAAACAGAACAGATCCTGTGTGGCACTGCATTCTTCTGAGTGGATTCTGGTCTGACTTTTGATTGGCTGTTCAGCCAGTTCTTTCAGCAGCTCCAGTGCTAGGACAGCATGACCTTTGACTCACACCTGCTTTGTGCTTCTACTGGGTTTGTGACGCTTTCAACGTTAATGAAAATACAGTGAAAAAAACGGTGCTGTCGAGGATCAGTGGCTTGGAAGAAATTGAAGAATGGCTCACTGGATTGTCACTTCACTGTATTTTTAATTTTATTGCATAATACTGAGATACTTCCTCTATTTCCACAGATACTCTATTTTTGCCACGTACGGCACAGGCTGCTGCTTAATGAGCTACACAAGAAACATGCCTGCATGTTGCTTCATGCTCCAGGATCTTATCGACATGAAAGGCAATAACCCGGAAGTTTAAAGAGCTCCAGACACAAAGCCACCTAAAATGTAGAATTGATAAAACCGAACACAAACAGTGTCTGCTCTATCTAGCTTGAAATCAGTTCAAACTTGTTGCATCAATTCTGCTGCCGCCATGAACTCTCTGTGATGGCTGGGCGACAGGGGGGGGCTTGTTCTCACAAGTGTCCAGTTCAGTAAAGCCACAAACGCTCAATTTAAAGTCTTAACCCGTTGCTAAGCTCCAGCATTCCACAGCTCATTTAGACGCTGCTTGCCAAATGTTACAAAGCATTAACATAAAGCTATGCTTCATACCAAAAATGTTAAACAAGTCTCACAATTTAATTAGTGTCGAGCATTAAAAGCTATGTGAACAAAGATTTGCTCTGAACTGGTATGCAATCCATTGAGAAACTTTTTTGGTCTCTCGCAGGGAGCACTTGTATTTCTGCAAGGACTGTTATTGTGTTTTTGTCCAACAGAGGCCCTGGTGCACTTTTTTTTGGAATACTTGGATGATCTCTCCAAAAATTAAAAATGCTGGGAAACTCGTGCTTTACATTAGCAAAAAAAAGTAACAAAGAAACACACATTGTCCTAAATCAAAAAGAAAACCCTCACAGAATAGAAAATGCATTGATTTCATTAATAAATGTATATTTCACAGCCTGGTAAAACTTATGAAAAAAGACCTTTGTTATCAGCAAACGAATTAATAAATTACGTTGATTAATTATATGGCTTAACAAGCTCTTGCAAAGAAGAGGATTCAGAAATACAGATAAGAAAAGGCATGACAGCTACACTGCGCTTCTCCGTTCTTTCTGCTCTGATCTGATCTGCAGTCTACCCCAGACAAAGCCATGACATCCCGCAGGCTGGACTTCGGCACAGCCTCCGACAGAACCGGCACAGCCCTCGAGGAGGCACAGATCACAGATCACGTTACAAGTTCGCCCAAGCCCAGTGGAGCCCCTCAGGGACCTAAAGAGCTCAGTGTTCAAAATCAGGACAGTGTGCCAATCTAGGAATCACAGGCGCACTGATTTTCAGAGGAGCTGGAAGGAAAATGGAAACTTACCAGCAAGGAATGAGGCCCCAAGCCCAGCAGATTGTGGAGTCTGAGTGCCTGAGAAATAAGCCCCAGCTCCATGGTGCAGCAGTGTGTCATGTGATGAAGTAGGCACTGTGCACACTTGAGAGGAACTTGTGGCTGCTTGCCTGAGAGGGAAGGGCTGATCCTGCACTCTGCAGGTTAGCACACACGGCAGATCCGACACACCCAGGAACAGAGAGGGGGAGATGTGTGTGCGTCAGGTCGCGGAGCAGTCATAGAAAATGAGCAGACAGTGCTGGGAGTGACTAAAGACACACAGAAAGAGACTTTCTGAGGAATGATTCAACTTCCTTGAGCTCGCCTTTACTTTCACTTTGAAGGTATAGTGCCTTCTCCATTGATGAGGACAAAATGAGATGTGAATGCACACATACACTGCATACACAGAGTACAGTGTATTGCTTCACAATACGTTCACTCATATCAGTACAGTAACTGCAACTGTCTTTCTGAAACATTACAATTACATTACAGTACATTATAGTACAGTTCAGCCAACTGTAGGGAAAAGGTTTATAAAGCGTTATTTCCGGCACTGTATTGTGGTCAGCAATAGTCACAAATCACAAGGTGAAGTGTCCTCCTGTTATCACTCACAAATGAGTGGCTATTTCATGTATTTTTTTTAAGATTAACTTATATTAGTAGGAACTTACTACACATCCAGGTCGAAAAGATAACTCTTTAATAAGCTGTTTTTATGTCAATTAATTTTACATGTTGAGGTGTTAATTAAATCTAAGTAGACCTGAAAAATATTGAGTGCATCTACTGATCATTCACTGTTTTGTAATGCTAAAGACAGTCAAAACTGAAGTACATAAAAAGCACAAACATGACAGGGCACTGTAACATGAGTAACATTTGATGGCTGAATTTATGGAAAACGGGCAGCAGAGTTTATCCTCTTGGCTGCCGAGACAACCTGCCTCAGATTACCGATGCTGAGAGAGAGTATCCACGATGTAGTGCAACAGAGTCAGCCTGTCAAGGCGAGCTCTAAGGACTGATGTACCGCAAAGTGGTGAAGCCCAGTGGAACAGAGTCCACATTACACTGGGGGATTGTCTCTGCTGTGCAGCGGCCATGACAAAACCCCAGACTGCCTCTGAAGACACAGAGCCAAATGCTAATGTGGTTAAGCAAGCTGTCGATACACACTGCTCACTAAATATTTTAAGAATGTGAATCAGCTGCAGTAGTAACAGTCAGCAGTATTAAAATCTGAAACATTATTTAGATGAACTGCAATTCCCTTACATCTTTTTTACCCTGGGGGATAGGCAACAACAGCATTCTTTCTCCATTTAACAGCCTAAAAGTAATTTGAAAGATTGAATGCGTTTCTTTTGTCTCACAGTACTCTGCCTTCTTTTGACAGCTGCTTTCAAAGAGGACTTTCCCTGTGCTGTAAAGCATCCCCCTTCTGAAACCTCACCAGCTTGAATTTCTGCGGAGGAGCCCTTTGCTCAACAGGAGACATCAATCACAGAACAAGGTAGAGACAGGATCCTATTGTTCCGACAAGAAGGAAACCTTTCTTTCACCACTGGAGGAGTGGTAAGACACAAAAAGTACAGAAATAAAAATCCCTAGCGTGCCCATCAGGGTCTGCCGAATGTTATCCAGCTCTGACTGAAAGGCAACAACTCTCTTAGCCTTCCTGTAAGATGATGTCTGTCTTCATAGCTAACTGCTGAACATTCTGGACTGGAAACCGAACATTACAGCAACGACTTTCCAGGAAAACCAGGGTGACTAAACCCCCCAGATCTACTGTCTTGACACACACTAAAGCAATATTATGACTTTCAACAAAGGCCTGTTCGAACCCGGGGAGAGTGTAGTCATTCATCCCGAAACAAGCTTTCACAGGAGCAGAATGTGAGCGCAGATGGGGGTGGTACAGGTTGCCTGGGGCGTTAGGAGCCATGCAAAAGGTAATTTTCATTTGTTATGAAATACATATAATGCACCAGGTACATTCTAACAACCCATTTTCAATTCGTTTCTAGATTTTCACTTTATCTTTATGTCTGGATATTAAATCTTTGCTTGCTTGGTCTCAGCATTTGTTTTTTTTTGTCGGCGTTTTGTTTCTGATGCTGTAGACCACATAGTGTAACGCATTTTAAATACATTGCCGTGGCCTGACTGTGGTCAGACATTAGCAAGGAAACCGAAGGTATTGAAATGCTGACAAAGCACGGGTGTTGTTGTCAAGATGTCTTGCTACAACTTGTCCAGTCACCCTCGGCCAGCTCTAGCTTACAAATCTAATCCCTGCCAGTGAAATGAGCCCCCACCTGTTTACTGCATTAGTTCTGCTTTCAGGTTTCAGACTGCAGACTCTGTTCCCCAACACAGCTGCAGTGTCCGTCAGAGGGCTGTGCTGCAGAGCTGGCCGGTCTGGGCTCTCACAGCTTTCAAGACTCTATTCTGTTTGTAAGTCCTCCCTCACAATTAGCACCGCATGAACTGCGCTGGAACATCTGAAGAGACAGATCTTTTCTCTGAAATAGCACAAACTCTGCCTTGGACTTCATTCGCCTTCCACAACTAAACATCCAGCAACTCTCTCCAAAAACACAGTGGCCATCTTTTGAATTTGTTACTATATATAAAAAAAAACACATTTATGTTTTAGGAGTAAATCAACAAGAAAGCCACTTCAGTAAATGATTGCCTTTAAGACTTTCCTGAAAAACAGATTAGTTTTAATAACAGTGTTTCAGAACCAGTGTAAGTTTATTTTTTTATTAAGGACAGACACTCCTCATTTAAACCCCACACTAGACATCAGCAATATTCCTGCTTTCACACTGCTGATGTAGTTAAAAAGATATTATGGAAGAGGACAGCATGCATAATATATTTATGTGACTTAAAACATAATCATTAGAATGTGAAAATAGTCCTTTTATGTGAAGAAATTACAGAGTACCCTTGGAAGCAGATAGCAGCTGAAGACCACAGAATGAGATAGTGTCTAATGGGTTTCAACAGGGGCAGCTCTCCAAGTTCTAACTACCTTGAACATTCCTTATCTGTGCCAAGGCTCCACTAAGCTACAGAGTTTTAGTCCAAACCAGAACGTACTATTTTCCAAGAGGCAATGGCAGTCTGAGTTTGTCTGAGTTTATTTTATTCAATTTCTATTGCACTATTATCTATGATTATGTAACCTTATTTTGTAACCCCCCAGTGAGGTCGATGAAAAGACATTTCATTGCCACCAACTACTGCTGCATGCTGTATTGTTGTGCATTTGATAAATAAACTTTGATTGATTGATTGATTGATTCAGGAAGGCCTAGTCAACGCTGAACTCACAGAGGGGGCTGTGGCTCAGCCCATTATACCAACCCCATACTGTAACAGACACACAGCAGCCCTGATCAGAAACAATCCATTGGCTGCAGAAAGAAAGCCTGCCCACACACAGCACCTGGAGAGAGCAAAACCATCGCACATGGTCCTGTCCTTGAGGAAGGCACAGCAGGTACGACTCGCCAATCAATCAAGGTCCGTTTATGCTTAGTCCGCGAGCTCGTTAAGAGAGTCGGCCCCAGACAAACTGACTGCAACCTGTGCATGACCCCAGCAGCGTTTCAGGGAAAATGAACTGTTCAGTTTCCCAGGGGGCTGGTCATTGTGTGAGGACCCTATTGTCACAGCCTACACCGCTGATCACAGATGCAATCACTAGATGTTCCGAATAAGATGCGCGATAAAACGATGAATTCTAACTGCTGTCCAACACCTTCTGCGTTCTGTTTTGAAAACATTGACGAGACAAAATCTGTTTTACTGGCTGTACAAAATTCCCCTCCTTGGATGCCGGCAGCTTGAGCCAGCAGTACCGATCTTACGGCTTTTATTCACACGCCTTACAGGGCAGAACCAGCGGCCAGGAAACGACAGGCCCTGAAATCTCCCAGCAGAAGTGCAGCCCAGCAGCTAGAAGGGAAGTGAGAGTGTGACAGTGCGAAGCAGACGGCAGCTGGTGCACGTTCACAAGGTAAAACCAGGCCTGGAGAGGAGCGGCTGGCGAGGAGCGAGGAGCGAGGAGCGAGGAGCACTATCCCCCTCCCTGGGGCAGGCTGCCCCGCGTCCCTGCGAGACGATGAATACCCACCTGTGGTCCACACACCGGGCACACGGCACGCATCTGGAAAACCACTTCGCTCAATGCACACAGATCAGTTAAGACTGTCAAACTGCCTTACAGCTAATCTCATCTCCTTGGAACTGTCAGCGTCGAAACACAAGTGGTATTAAAGAAACTGAAGGATAAGTACTAACTGGTCGATTTTTTCGCAGGTATGAATTCTGAAGTAAACCTGCCGCGTCTGTATTTCCTGCTGGATCGATGAATTGTTTTCAAATTTTAGTTATTAAAGTGGGTCACAATACGGAAAAATGCAAAATTAATGAAAGCGCACTAAAAGCTGCAGACTTCAGTATGAAACTTCAATTAGACTGAGGCAAGAGAGAGGTGAAAATGTGAGCACAGCCAGCTCAGCTCTTGGAACAACCCTGTCAATCCTGACTACCTCCCTACCACCCTCTTGTGTAAATACTGCATGTCACCTTATCTGGGCAGGGAGTGACGGACATCCCTCTGACTCACTGCGCAAAGTAAATTTGAAAGAGGCAGCACATATAGATAGGTTATGCTGAAGTTACTTGGGTCTAACAACCAGAAGTGCAGAATGGGTTTGTTCAGTCATGTCTTTCACACATGCTCTGGTTGCACAGCCTTGCCATCAGATGTGACAGTCCATCATCAAGGTAAGGAGCAAGTAATAATAATAATAATAATAATAATAATAATAATAAATTCCTTACAATTACATAGCGCTTTTCTGGACACTCCGCTCAAAATGCTTTACAGGTAATGGGGAACCCCTCCATTAACACCAGTGTGCAGCCCCACCTGGTGGCAGTACGCTCCCCACACACTCAGTGGGGAGTTAGGATCCACACAGACCGCAGGGTGAGCGCCCCCCTACTGACCCAATTAACCCCTCTCCCGGCAGCAACCTGAGCTTTCCCGGGAGTCTCCCCTCCAGGTCCTGGCCAGGTTCACACTGCTGAGCTCCAGTGGGCTGCCAGCTGGGGGCTGCGGGGTGATCTGGCGGCTGGCTATCCGGTGGGTCTTTTCCCATGACCCCCCACACGGCCTGGCGGAGTCCCGCTACACTTACTGGAGGAGTGGGCCCGGGACACGGCCCCGCTGCGGGCGTCCTCCGGGAGCGAGGACAGGTCAGCGCAGGAGGCCCCTGCGCTCGGACAGCCGGGCTCCTCGGAGCGCGTCGTCGGGCTGCTGTCGGAGGAGGAAGCGGCGCTCCAGAAACTGGCGGAGGAAACCGGGTTCCGGCTGGGCACCGCCGCGGAGGAGCCTGGAAAACACCAGTTCGGCCCGTCAGCACGGCGCCCTCTTCCCCGGCAGAGACGGACGACGCGAGGAGAGCTGGTGTCATTTCTTTTCGACCGAAGTGCGAAATCTCATGGATGACAGCGCTTGGGTTAAAACAATACACATCGGACTCGCTTAGGAGTCCTCACACTAAGGCAAACAAGTTTCATGCAGAACTATGTCAAAGGCAGAGAGCTCTCCCCTTTGTGCTGCACACTTCAGTAATGTTTCCCATCATTCCCTCCGGCGTTTGAAAGATGCTCCTTCGGGTCCCACGTTCCGAATCGGCAGCAGGTTTAAAGCAGGCACATTCCAAGCAGGAGCGTGGGTCCCGTTTAAGGAACGATTCTTCTCATACCCTCAACTATTCCGAAATGACTACTCCCGTTGGCAAGTCCCGCAATGTTTATCTGAAATCTAAAAACCTAGACTATAATGAGGGGTCTCACCGTAACACATCAGAGTCGTCCTGGTTACAGCAGTCCTGTAAGGCCTGTACCGTGCAGAGGTTCCAGAAGATAAGACCTTGGATTCAAATCTGTTTGCTTCTGGAACGTCTTCTCCGGTTTCATACGTTAGCAGCAAAGAGGAAACTCCTGTGCTGCGAGCAGTGACAGAGCGCCTGTGGCACCTGGCCCACACCCTCAGTGAGAGTGTGGCCTGCGTTCATGGTGGAAATCGTGCTGCACTCCAGCAGAGTTTACCATGCCCCTCAGTGTCGTAGAGAGAAGCTAAACCAAGCGACAACATGCATTCATGTCAGATTTTAATTTTGTTTAGGTTGGTGTACCACCTGCTTCATTGCCTTTGGGACAGGCCTTCTCCTCCTTGTCCTTTCCAGTGTGACCGTCGCGGTTCCGCGCACTCGTGCCCTCCGCCACCCGTTTCGTCCTGCAGCACCTGGGGCGCGAACCCGGGTCTCCGGTGTAACGCAACAGGGAACCAGCTGAGTGAGCTAAAGGAGACCTCCCACAGCCCGGGCAGCTGAGGTCCCTGCTACGCGCAGGGAGGGCGCTGACGTCACTGTATCTGAACTAGCTCCGCTACACCTGCTCATTTCTCCACTGGCACAAGGACCAGCAGAGAAGGCCTCATGCCAAGCTGTGGGTGAAGGCTATGAAGAAAGGGAACAGGGCAAGCCACCCTCTGCTCCACTGGATCAGTAACAGCAGGGGACGCACGACGCTTAGACTCATCCTGCAAACTGTGAACCTGAGTTGCATTGTAATGCACAACATACAACAAATGTGGCTTTTAATTTGAAATAAAAGTCCAGGAGGGTTAGTCATAGACAATGCTGTCCAGATTACTGTGGCGGTAAAGGATGTCAAGGTCTTGTCTTTTCCAGATTTAGAAACGGGTCTCTACTTGCTTAACAGTAGCATCATCACAGAGGAAGGCAATGCCAGCAGAACTCCCCTGTCCCCTCTGACCACACCGAAGGTGAGTGTAACGCGATGATGGCAAATGTCTATGTTTGGTATGAGAAATATCACATACTCCTGGCAATAACAGTATAGACTTGTCACAAGGGAAAGTTCAATGCTTTGGAACACTTTTGTAAGACTTCTGTGTCAATATCAGCCATTATATACATACTGTATGCACGGTTCTGTGAGGAGCGAGTGAAGTATCATCATAAAATCTGGGGGCTATTCACATGTTTAAAGTGAAACACTAAAATCATCCAGTTTCATCCTCCAACCTCTCCTAGGATGACAACTTTAAACGAACACATATGAGTAGTAACTGCGACAGCACATTTTGCTGTGGAGCAAAAGGTGAAAATCCCCATGTTAATGTACAATCTAGCAAAACAGACAAAAAATGGGCAAGCGAAACACATCCGACCACCATTCCAGTTCTGTCTTCACGGCAATGGCACGTGTATCTCGGAGGAGGGCGAATTCACAGTGCAATCCTAAGAGTATATCATCTTGTCAGACTGAGCTGCTGTGCAAAGATCTGAGGCATCATAAACAGAATCAATACATGTGTGTTCTGAGCATGAATAACTGACTTCTCTACTACTGTATCAATTCAGACTTATTAATACAGCTTAGTCTGGGAAAGAAGAAGCCAAGCTTGTCACTTAGCATCTCTAACTCACATTGATCAGATGTTCAAAAACCTGATCGCAACTCAAGGTACGCTTGACAATATAGTGCTGTAACAGTCAATCCATCACTTTTACCTGTCAGATTGGTTTGATTCATTATCATCTTTGCATTCTCTCTTATCCTTAAAGCAAAAAGGCTTCTTTTTGTACAACAAAATACAGATCTGTTAGGAATAACTGTCAGCGACTACATTTCCAGTAGGTCACCACAGGACTGTTAATGCATAAAGAAGGAAGCAGAGTAGAACATCAAATGTCCTAAAACCTTCGCACAGCAGTGTATATGCAAACAGTAACATGTCTTATAGTGCTTTTGTTTTCTTCTCAATCCACTTTAATAGAACACAAAAAAGCATTTTTCCCTCACATAATTAAATCAGGATTTAATGCATCTGTGTGCCATTCCATTTACTGCGCAATCGCCCAGTGCAAACACTAAACCAGCTCGGAGCTCATCAGCAAATTAAATAACGCAGGTAATTTATTTAAATCACCATGACAACATCTTTTCTCCTTAACAATGGCCACAGTAACCCTGCAGACTGCTCAGCACACTGCCTTTGGCAACCAGTCTTAAATGTCTACAGTAGAGTTTTTATATCGTCTTAACATTGAGGACTATGTCATGCAGTAACCTAATACAGTAACACAAACTTCATGTTAATTACAATTGTGGAGACACTGAAGTACAAACATTCATTTCAGATACTTGTAATTCTCACACCTATTTACCAAATGCTGTTATCTGGTATTGCCCAGGGCGCAGAATACCAAATGGGAATGAACGATTTCATATCAAAGTTTGATAAAGGTGCAAAAGAAATATAATAAGTCAACAATCTCACTTCCATATAATATTTCAAGTCCAGTGTAGCTCATTTTCTCTAGAAATGTTTTGATCAACCATTTTGTTAAATATTTTTTTGAAGAAACTGCATGAGTGGAAAAAGTCCTTGCAGATGCAAGACAGCATCGCTAAAGAGATGTGATTCTATAAATCACAACCTGACGATTCCTCATCTATATTAAGCTCCGGTGAACGAAAACTCAAGTGACATACATGTATAGTTGCATAGCTGAATGTTTCATTAGGGGCTGAGAGGAAATCCACAAACAAGAGATTACAGAGGAAAAGCACCAGCCTCACTGCCCCTGGGTGCCTGTCTACTCGAATCTGGGTAAGTAACTTTAACACTGTCTTTTACCGCACATAATATAGCCTATACTGTATTACAGGCCCTGTTTAAATCATTAGGTAATCTCATACGTTCAGTTATGCAGGACAGACGACTTCTGTGTGAAATTTACAGCACGGGGAACCGGTACAGCCTCAGGGTCAGAAACACTTCACATTTCAAAAACTAAAGTCCGAGTGCATTCCTGGCACACGTTTCGATTAAAACTCAGCATCAATTAGCTATTAGCAACTAAATAAATGGGCTAGATGTGCTGATGGCCTCCACTCATTTACCCACTTATCTAGACCCTTTCTTGTTCACGTTAGTTGGGATTTTTCCCAAGAGGAAACACTGTAATTGGGGTTTTGCTTTATCTGTGCATCTGTACCAGTAAAACCCAGAAGATCAGCTCGGAGAACTGCGGCGCTGTGGCTGGAATCTTGTCTTTCTAATGGAGACGAGCTGCACTTTTCTATACATTTCAAGAGCTCCTTGGGCTTCTTCTGCTTCCATTTCCATGAAAATAGTTTCCCTGCACTCACACCATGTGGAGGCTGCCAGCGGCCCAGCGCACGACCATGGGAAAAGGACTCGGCTTTGTTTCCACCTGCATTTAAATCCCCTGAGGCTGCAGAGAGCAGGACTGCCCCTCTCTCCTGCATTCCCGGGACGACTCAGCGCTGCTGCCTTTGGAACGAACAACAGCAGGGCAGAAAGCATTGAAAACAATGCAGAACGAAATCTAATTATTCAGAGTAAAGAGTGATGGTCTCTACAAAAACAAACAAATCTGGTTCACAGCTCTATACGTTACAGCTGTAACAAGTATGGTAAATCTAAGATAACAGAGGAAAACACTCCAGTGGTATTAAAGTGCAAAAGAAGAAAGATTCACTTGTTTTGTTGGATGTCTTTACCGACCGAAGACAATGAAATATGTAAGTTGATGTTAAATGCATTAAATGAAATGAATGAATACCATTTTTAATCCAGAATTAAAATCTGGACAATTCTCTATAAACCTCTCAGCTGTTTCATTAACAGTGATTTTATTCTGGGGGGAAAAGACAACAGAAATGAGAATATTTCATATCTCAAGAAGCACAATAAATGCCTCACTGTCACTCCTGGTTAATGTAAATGTTGCTGCACCTGCCTCTTGAGCTATTCCACTACCGCGGTGCTTGGCCCTGTCGTACCTGGTACCTGTGGCCGCCAGGGCGCCGGGCTGCTCCACGCCTTGTCCTCGAACTGGACCCACACATGCTTCTGCACAGCAGGGTCCGGCTGCCAGGCCACACCCCCTTGGGCCACGCCCGGGGGCGGGGTCTCCGGGGGGGCGGGGTCAGGAGCCAGCTGGGGCAGGACATGGTGACCATCTGAAGGAGATGTGGGTTTCTCATATTACACTCGAAAGCATGATCAGGAATGTACAGGTCAGCATATATTCATGCAATTTTTAATATTAATGTTTAAAAGGATTGGACAGAACTATGACCTAATCTTTTAAACTACAAAAATAGTGGAAAACGTTTTTCAACAAAACATGTTCAGTCATTTTAAGAAAAACAGAATTCCAAGGTATTTTATAAATATAAGGCAAATAATATCCCTATATTGGAACAAGTAATAGGTTTATTCCATGCTGAAAAAAAGAAGAAAGAGAACACAACGTTTCGGCCGTGGAGCCTTCTTCAGGTGTGAGCATATATATCCCTATATTATTATCCCTATAATATATCCCTATATTATCTTATAGGGTAATATAAGGGAATTAATTCCCTAGGATCCTACGAATGCACTAACAGCAAAGATGTCAGAAGTATAAACTGATCTCTCTGTAAAAAATAAGTACGAGGAGTTGAGGTTCCTGCACTAAAAAGCTGCACTTGACAAGGTACATGACTGGGACATAGGGAATTTCACATTTCAGTGGTGGTAACATGCACACACAAAGGAGACCAAGCACACGCACAGTGCAAGGTAAATGGGCATGGGAATCCGAAGAGTACTTGGCACACTGTTTTTAACCAACCAAAACACACACTTTCTTAACTGCCTGCAACAGACGCATCCAATTTAAAAAAAGTTGGAAGATATACTGTACCATACTGTCGAGCACACTTGGGTCTAGCACTTGTACGCTTTAAATATCCAAAGTGACATCCGGACTGTTACCTCTCTTGAGTCCCCGCGCAGGCGGAGGAAGCTCATCGCTGAAGGAAACCCAGTCCGACCTCCGAGTGCCAGATCCTGTTCTTCCCACAGCTGTCATGGTGGGTTACGGCAGGGCATTGCTTCCGACAGCCGGGCCCTGGGCTCAGTCCTCTCCCCGTGGCAGAGAACACACAGTGGTCACGCGTGGAGCTGCTGGGATAGACGCAGTTCCCTTTAGAACGCAATGCCAGAAACACCGGATCCCCCTCTCAAGTAAATAAACAGAACTCGGAGTTTTCAGCTTAACCTTTTTAAAATAAAACCTGTCTCATGCAGGATCAGCCAAACTGTTCGCCTCTAGAGACTGTAGTTCAGTCAGGATGAGACGTTGAGCTTTTAATTGCTGCCTTATCCTAAAATTTATCTCCAATCGTGCTCTTATTGAGAATTAATTTCTACAAATTCACTTCTGTTTGTGTGTTTCAGGGTCCTGGTTTCAATTTTAATCACTAACTGGTATGACAGAAGAACATCTAATTGAGTGCTCTGGGAACTGAGGCAGACCACTGCTATACTAACACTGATCTCTGCAGTTTTAAACACTTTTTACAAAGAAAGTTCACCACACTTGAGTTTTCTGAGTGAGAAAACAGTAGAAAACAGTTTTTACAGTAAGGAGGGGACCTTTCCCCCGATCACAGTTCTGCCCGTTCTGCGGCGATAGTAAAAACACAACGATCACTTGGCAACCAGCTCCCACACTTTCTCCCCGATCACTGGTGAGCCAGGCACCCTCATTACAACCGATGTGATTTCAGCCTCAGCACAAAATCACCCGCCTGCAAAAGCAATATGATACTATAATAAATAAAACATATGAACAAAACCTATATACCACTGAGCAGGAAATGAACATCCAGCGCAACCGAGTGTCGACAGTTTTGAGATTTTTTGTCCTTTGTAAAAGAGGGTGACATACTGCAAGTGCGTGTCCTCTAATTTCGCCTCTCGCCCAGTGAGCGAGAAACCCAAGGACACTGTCCGTGCCCCCTCCTGCCAGAGAGGAAAGGGAGCTCTCTCCGAAGGGAAGTGCTCCTTGACTTATTGTACCAGGGTGGTAAACAGCAGGTCTTCATTCTGCCTTTGTTTCCGAGACAGTAGGAAGTCGGACGCGGGCGGTGGTGCCGTGGAGAATCCACTGCTGTGCAGCAGGGCATCACGACGGTCTCCCGGCTAACAGCACGCAGCACACACCCCCAGCAGCGCAGGCAGCGAGGACGACTGGCAAGAGCAGCAGGCCGGGAGGAAACAGAGTTAACCCATCACGACTGCTGACCACGGACAACTTTCAAACAATATTCCTCACCCGCTTTTGCGCTTGGTCCATTATTTACTCCAGCAGTTTCCTTCTGAATACTGCTTCACGGTTCCCTCACAAATAAGACAGTGCTGCTGGCCATCGACACAGGAATTCATTGGAACACCAAGCATCTCGAAGAAAAAAACATCTTTAGCAGACACCACACCCACGGCACGCAGCCGACTGCCTCACATCTCTCACCGATATCCCCGGCACCGACCACAGCACGAAGAACCACGGCTGTAACCGATCCCACTTCTCTGCCTCACGCTTGTTCACACAACACTTCCGTTTAGCTCAGAGACTCACAAAGAAGCTAAAGCCTCTCATGGACGAAGCACAGCCATGAACTTTTTGGAGCAGAAACGAACAGTGCAGCAGCTGTGATACAGACCTGCTCGTGGGTCGGTCGAGCATGAAATCTGGCCTTTTCGCAGGACGCTAGAAAGTTTTCTACATAGTGCTTCAAGAACACACCCTCCCCTGAACACGAGCTCTGTTTTGACCAGCTTCGCTGGGCTTTCAGGCTATTATCTGACACAATCCTGCAGTGTTTTTCAATTGGCAGGCTCTGGTGTGGTCAACACCCTGATGCGAGTTTGTGAAAGCCCATTCCCAGTCCCGGGGGCTCTCACAGATGCTGCTTCTCTGGCTCCGGGTTGGGAACAAGCATGACATCACACAGCCTGCACTTTTATAGACTTCACTCTCTTTCCTGTTTCCCAGGCAAAGCTCAGCTTTACAGAAATAAATACACTTGACATTAACTCATTAACAAACGCAGGAAAAGAGTCCAAGAGAATCCGGGTATAAGATGCCACATTATTTTCACCAACACAGGAAATAAAGATCTCAAATTGTAACTCAGGTGAACTGATTTTAAACCATTAAAACAATATCTGATGTCTACGTACTGTCAAGAGTGAGACTGTGTGCTTTTTTTAAACACTCGGCCTTGTGCAGCAACAGCTCAGTGGCAATCTGTCTGTCACCATGCCCAAGCTGGAAAATCCCCAAACAGAAACTCGGCAGGGACCCCAAACAATGATCTACTGTGCAGGCCCCCCTTTAACTCATTTACTTGACATTTGTCTTCTTTCATGTACATTTAAATTCAAAGAAAGAAGATGCCAGGCTGAGACACTCGGCAAACTCTTCAATCAAACTGACACAGGAGCGCCGACACAGTCTTCTATTCCTGGACACAGAGTGTCCAAATATCATTCCCTCGGCTCTTCCACACTCCGTGCCAGATCCACCACAGGGAGCTGCTGGTCAGGACTGCAGAGTCATCGCCTCAGAATGACCTGGGAGAGATGTCAACTATGACCAGCTAAGTAAACAGTTACTTCAACATTGGCAATTAAGAGAAATGAGGACAAAGTGTGTTCATAAAACTTTTACAATTGTGTTAAATAAAAATCTGTTTGTTTGTTTTTCCTTGTAAGAGACTAATGCTATTCAGAATACTATTCTATTAAGTAAGGGCTTTTAAAAGACTTCTAAATGTTTTTTATTTTCTTTTAGGAGAGGGGGTGCATTGTAACTATGTTAGTGGTGCCATTAACACAACATAAAAGTTTTACTGACCTGTCCTGCTTGGTCTGACCTGCTCTGTTGCCTGAGGCAGTGAACGCTGGAACAGAAGAACGGGTACAAATGACAGAAGGCCAAGGCCACTCGACCCATACAGATCATGAAGCAGCAGGTACCTGATTAGTCCAGGGATCTCAAGCAGCTGTTTCTTGAAAGAAGCCAGGCTAACGGCTTCAACAACATAGCTGGGGAGCCTGTTGCAGACCCCCACCACCCTCTGTGTAAAGACGTTCCCCCCCCGTTCTCAATTTGAAACCCATGTCCGTGAGATATGAAGAGGAAGGAACAGCTGTCATGTGTCGGAGGTTTTATTACTGAGCTCCAGTCTGGACCATTTCCTAGTGTCCAGGCCACCGGGTATCCCAGTATTCCCAGTCATGAGCTCTGAAGCTCAGGGGCCAGTACCTTGTTAATGAAATGAATGGGAATTTTCAAGGCCTAAAGTGTACAGTATTTCTTATCAATAGCACACTTGTGTGTGTCTGGCCCAGTAGGCAAGCTGCAGTATACGACCACCATCAGGAGGCTTCGTGGACTGGCTGTTTTAACACCATTCCACTACTGCTGCCAAAGTCCTGATGTGTAAACGGACATTAGGACTTTCCCTCATTATCACCACATCAGAGCCCTTCTACAGACACCACGCAGTGCTTAAGCTCCAGTCAGAGGAAAACACTTCGGAAGGTCAGTGGAAGGTCTGTTACAGGCTGAAGTAGTTCAGGTGGGGCTGCAAAGGAACAAGTAAAGGTTTATTCCCTGCTGAAGAGAGAAGAGAGAAAACACAGCGTTTCGGCCGTGGAGCCTTCTTCGGGTGTAACCAGTTACAGGCTGGACAGGGCACACAAGCTCAAAGCTACTGCTCGACTAGCTGTGCCAACAACACATGTTTTTTAAAGTCTAAAATGGAACAATTTCCACAGCCAATGTCAACAGAGTGCAAGTGCGGTCATCAATACTTCTGCAATCAGATCACAGACTGACTCAGCGTGGGCTTCATCACGACATCCGGAGCGATCTTACTGCTCGGCGTCGACTTGTCCCCACTGGAGACCACATACTGTACATATACAGTATATGGAAGGATAAGAATTGGGACCATGTAGTTGAAAAGTAGAGGTTAATTACACGCTGGAAAGAAGGAAGCAGGATGACAAGACAACCTTCTGCGCAGCTTTCTTGATCGTGTGGAATGCCTTTGCATTCTGGAGCACAGGCAGCAGTGTGAAGACGTGGTTGGGGCTCTGGACTCGTAACTGGAGGGTTGTGGGTTCAAACGTGATGGAGCTGAGCTGCAGGACCCTTGAGCAAGGTGCTGTTCAGGAAGCCAGTGGCCTGCCTGCAGTGTGAAACTAGCCTCCCCAGAGCGAGCAAGCTTGGAAAGGGAAACCCTGCTCCAGCGACGACAAAGCCCACCCAGCAAACACCTTCCGAATTAACCACAGCACACAAACCGGAGGACAAGAGGACACCAGCTGGGCGTGCACCCGAAACCAAGAGCAGGAGAGCCCTGCGTACGCCAGTGGGCTGCAGGGCCCAGCACCCTGGTGCCCGCCAACACTCGGGTCAGTGAGCGGCTCACTAGCAATTGGACTAGACCCTCCTCTCCACTGCTGCCTTGACTTTGTATCTGAACTGCAATGTGTGAGGCCCATTCCCCCATCACGAACTGTACAGTGCGCTGCTGCAGACCTCCTGAAGTAGCCAGCGGGACAGGACGAGCTCAGCTGCGCAGGCCAGTGTCTGTTTCAGTCCTGCATTTCGAACAGCTGAGGTGCTTGCAGGGACCCGTCTCGCTGCGTGAAGCTCAGGTGCTGGAGACTTCAGTCGCGCTACCTTCCCCACGAGATATCTGTGCGTCGGGCTGTGCGTGGGACAGGACTCGCCCAGTGACCCACTCGAAGAGCTCAAGACTTACAACGATCCGAGAGAAGGAGCCCTGCAGCGCAGAAGAAAAGGAAACCGCCAGAGACCGCACGCAGTATCGCGAATGCCGGAGCTTATATCGCTGAAGAAGACTATCCTGTAGATAACACGACAGGGAGAAAACATTTCTGCTACAACCCCTCACGCTTTTGCACTGCTGTTTCCTTAATGTTATGATGTGCCGCACCTGACCGGCCAAAAAGCAACACTGGACGGTCAACAGTGAGCGACAGACGCCGGATCTGGGTGCAGTTTAACAAGCAGTTTAACCACCTGCGACACGACACACAGCAGACTGCAGGAAGCCCACGGCGCACCACGTTT